AGATATTGACTTTCTTGGCATTTGATCGGAGCCGCCCCCGCTGCTGCGCATTCCCCATTTCAGGAAACCCGACTAAAACTCAATTGACACCATCCCCTTCTGAACCACGTCAATGTCTAGGCAGATCACCAGCCTCTAGTCAATGTCATCGATCGCAGTACTTATTCCATCAGCTACGTTCGCTCGTCCCAGGTGTGCGGTTCCCTCCTTCTCATGTAGCAAACTGAAAAACACCGAAGCGAGGGGACGGAGTAGGAACCACGAAAGAATGCAATGTCGCGAATACGCACACATGCATGAACTGATTCTTCAAGGGTTTAATTTAAGCGGAGGCGTGTCCAGTCCCCGATCCGAGGAAATAACCTCTCCCCAATACACAAACGAGACATTGTGTTGCCTCGGCCGTTTGGGACGCCGTGCAATGACGCACGGAGCTCGACCCAGATATTCCGGTGGATAGTGGACTTGACCACTTCGTAGACTGGCCAAACATATCACAGAGTTGGATGGTCTACGGGGGAATGAGCTGAGCATTGTTTGATGAACAGTGAACACTTCGACTCCATCCGACTGGGGGCTCCAATCATAAGGAGGCACCTTCCCTATCTTATGATAGAATTGCATGTCAGATGATTTGTGGAAAAGCACTTTTCCCTGGGTGTCCTCGAAAGGCCGCCGTGTCTATGTCAATCGCGCAACAGTAAGAATTGGAGCTAGTTCAACTCCCTTCTGCCGCTGTACATCCAAAGGCCCAAATTTATCTCTCGAAATTCTAAACAGTTCTGGAGCACAGTATCGAAGGATAGTTGCCATGCTTGATCCTTGAGCGCATGTCGTTTCGTCATTTAAAAGGGCTGAGAGTCCAAAACCGCAGAGTTTGGGAACATTGTCATGCATCACAACGTTCTCCTAGAATCGAGGGAGGTTCGAGTTCACGATCGGTGACTACCACTTGTATATAGACGCACCGGACTGACATCACCATGGACGACACTCTTCAGATGAAGATAGGCTAGGGCCGTCGGCAATGCCTCGAATCTAGACAGAAGCAGCGACATTATCTGATAGTACAAGCATGCAATATTACCAACTCATGGCAATTGACAAATTGGGATCTGATCAGATACGACTTGAGATCCCCTCCCCCGCACCAGGCTGAGATCAAGCTAGCGCGAATCGAATTATCCACAACATTCACCATCCTCCACCCATGGAAATGGACAATGTTTGGGTGTGTCAGGGTCGACCAAGCCTTTATCTCACGTCTGAATCGCTGCAAACACACGAATAATTATATTAGCGCACCGCTTCATTTGATTCACTGTAGAACCGCGTAAGCTTAGGATTGATGCGATTCAGGAAGATGGATTGTTTCAGCTGGGAACAGGGAAAACGGTCGCGGAGCAAGTCCACCTCAGGATTTGATCCATGTAGGCAATGGGCACACGGTGGTAGGAGGCAGATAGTTGTGCGCCACATAGTTGTTGTCAGAACCAACGCGAAGTCGGATCCGATTACGTAATTGCCACCTACCGGGACGATTTCCCCGAGTCACGTCAGGCATGCATTTGCATGTAGAATGTCCTGTTTGCAAGCTATTGCTATCAAATAGCCAATTCAATGAATACCCAGCTTCCCGTCGCTGTTTGCCTCATACGCCTTTGTGCATGTATATGGCGACTCCTATTCTGTTGAATCCACACGGTCCAGACCCAGGGCTCAGGGTTACGTGCGTGCATCGCGGCACAAGATGGCTAGGGTTTGTGAATACGCTACGTTGCCTTTGGACTTGGTCCACTCCATCTCTACCCAGTAGCTTGGGTGAACCTTTATCAGGCCAGCCCGGCCGCGCACGTGCACAGTTGTTTCCAAGCAAGGGAGGTGAACAATTGATTCACTATTAGTGGCCCACGTTGCCTTACCTGTTATGTCCACTAAGGGCGAGCAGCCTCCAGTTGACACATATATGATATGAGGATAGCTGGGCGGCCTGCTGCCAAACACCTTCAACACATTACCGTTCTGATCGCCAGCCACACCGACACCATGCCCAGTGACCCTAAATCCCACCGCTTTCCCTCCTGGTTCAAGAAGCGACAGCACCCTTCCGATCCTACTGACGATCGGTCGCAGGTCTCAATTCTCCCTGCCTCCAACAACCAGGTCATCGGGTCTGCCACCGCACATGACAGAACGAACGACAAAGACTACGGCAGCCCCGCAGGACTGCGTTCTGGTGCCCTTGCCACTACAGCGCCCGCTCTTCTACTTCATGGTGGCACCTTACAGGATGATACCACGGAGCAACGGACATCTTCTCGAAACAAGCTACTTAGGCTATTCCGAAGAAGTTCCAGTCCCAGCCCCGCTTCCAGTCGTCGCAACCAATCAAGCACATCCCAATCCAACCATTCTATGCCAACTACTCCCATCCAGACATCCACGAATGACTCACGGCCATCGCTGTCCCCTCCCGCCGAAGTGAACATCAATCTCCAACGAGTGATGGGCAACGCACCTGCCACTGGCAACGATGACCCGAGCGTCCACATGCAACAAGAGCCTGGACCGTCAGTCTCATCGGTGCCAGCGGAATCAGTGCCTCGTAGATCCGATGGCGATCTGAAGAAAACGATCATCGGCACCACCAAACTACTTCTCGAAACTGCGGCCGCTGGTCTCAAATTCGCTCCCATCCCCAATCTTGATCAGATCCCAAACACGCTTCTGAGGTTTATTCAAATCTACGAGGTTTGTGAATCGTCTTGATGATCTTGATCTTGATCGCTTCCATACTACCTGCTGCATACATGTAGAATGTCAGCGGCAACACCGAGGAACTCGACCAGTTGTGCATCGTGATTCAGCAAGCGCAAGAATCAGTGGTTGAGCCCCTCCAGAAATGGACTGGAGAAACTCCTCCTGAGCTAGAGACCCTAGTGCAGGAATTCCACATGTACGGATCTCGTCTTCCTCTCATTTACATTCACTCATTCTCTTCGTAGTGCGTTGCAAACGCAAGTAGAGGACATCGAATTAGTCCAGAAAAAACATGTTGTCAAGAGGACCATTCAAGCGCCTGATATAACACACCAAATAACGAATATGAAGAGTTGCCTAAATGATTCTATTCGTCGATTCCAGGTTTGCACGCTTGAAGATTGTTTGGATATTCAATCCTGGCTAACCATGTCCGTCATAGCTAAGGATATCGACTTTAACCCTGCTTCGCACTGAGCGCTTATCGGTTCATTGTATGCGTCTATGTACATGCATTAAGACCGCCTAATCACTGGTACTTCTAGCTGAGCTATCAAGACTTAAGCGGGCCCCAGCCGAGCACACTTGTGTGACAAGCAAATCAAAGTGTCTTCCAGGCACACGCATCAAGATACAAGAATCCCTAATCAAACACCTAAGGGAAGCCGAGAACCGGTTTGTCTGGCTACGGGGATCTCCTGGGACGGGGAAGACTGCGATCTCTATGAGTGTCGCGTCCACTTTTGAGAAAGAGGGCACTCTGGCGGCATCATACTTTTGGGACAAGAACCAGACAGGATCGGGCTTGAATTCTATCGAACTGTTCCCTACTACTCTTGCCCGCCAACTTGCATCCTTCAATGAGGACTTTAAATTTTCGCTCATCAAACACCTTCGGAAACCGGCCTTGGACTCTGTTCAGCATTTCCCTCTGCAACGACAAATTAATACTCTGATAATCGAGCCGATGCGTGACTTGAAGGACATATGGTCTTTGGGCAAGGATCGTGTCGTTATCGTCCTAGATGGCCTCGATGAGTGCGGGGACCAGGAGAGACTCGAGTCACTGATGGAACTAGTGCTTGCCTTTCAGGAGCTGCCACCGATATTTTCTGTGCTAGTCAGTTCTCGTCCTGAGCCAGGAGTCATTTCAGCTTGGGATGAGGCTCGCGTCAAGGGTCATGTCATACTATGTGAAGATGTGGACAAGGTTGTAGGGCGGGAAGCCTTCCGGACGGTCCGCCGTATAATACTAAAAGGCCTTCAGCATCTCTTTGAGAAATCTTCATGGACACCAGACAAGGAGGAACTTGACGCTTTTGCTTGGGCTTGTCGTGGGTTGCCTATCATTGCGTCTACCCGGGTTCGCTATGTCTGCCAGCAGAGCGGACATGGTCGCACCCTGCAATCGGTGTTCAAGGGCTTGCTTGACCTCCGTGACCTACCTGCCAACCTCAAGGAGGAATACTTGCGGATACTTCGACAAGCCTACATGCCAGATTCATCTGATATTCACCCAGATGTAGCTGTGAAGTATCGCTTAGTGGTTGGTGCAATTGTTGCAGCGCACAAACCAATGGACGTCTCTTTTATGTCACAGCTTTTCAAAATTAGTGAAGCTGAGATCCGTGCGACATTGGAACCAATCAGCTCCATCGTCAATCTTCCCTTAGAGGATGTAGAGGATGTCACCTTATATCATGCAACGGCAAAAGAATTCATCGTGGGGGAACCAATTGGCAATGAGAAAGACAGAGTATTCTTCATCAATGACCCGAAAGGGTATTTCCTTGGATTGCCACTCCTTCGACTCTTCAAGAATTATTGCGAACAGGATGTATTCGGAATACCAACGAATTTCCCTTTAGGAAATGAAAGAATATGGAAGGAATTTATGGTGAAAAAGGAGGATTATCGTTGGGACTTCTCCTATGTTATTGAACACTTGCTCGAACACTTGGACCCTTCGCAACTTTTTTCACAAGAGTCCAGTGAATTGCAAACCGAGTTTAATTCCTTCATCACGCAAAAATACATCTTGACTTTCATGCACTTGCGATATGATCCTATGGCCAAGGTTCATTTATTTCCAAAAAAACTACTTCAATTCAATGTAAGTATAAACTATTCCTCCGGCGTTTTTCTGATGTCATTTTTGATAGAATCACAACTCGATCCAACTTCTGAGAGAGTTAACTGAGCTAGCTTACACTACTGAAGGTAAACCATGGGAACTCTATCGATCAAAGCTTCCTTTCGCCCCACCCTCATCATCCCTTTACAAACAGTATGGACATCTTGCTGATCCTGTCCGGTTCTTCTCTGCTTTCGGCGAGTTCTCTGGCGGCACCATTCCATTGAGCGAGGATTTGCTCACCGCCCAAGAGGTCATGCAGGCAAAGTTGAGTGAACTACCAGAGGCGGTCGATCAATGGGGACAGAAGGCAATCAATTATGATGCTGAATTCCATGTGTCCGATGTTCGCAATGGCATCGTGACATGTGCTGCACTCTCCCTTGATGGCCGCTATATTGCACTCGGATTTGGCAGCGGAATTATCGAAGTGGCCGATATCAACCACCAGCGCACAATCTGCCGATTGCAGCACAGTCCAGCCAATCTCCCGACCTGGATCGAATTTGTTCATGGCAGCCACCGAGTCGTCACTGAGGATAATAATGGGAATGTAAGGATCCTCGGTGACGGTATGACCCCTGTGAATCTTGGCACTCTTCCCACTGGTCCCTATCCAGCTGGAACCATAGCCTCAGATAACGGGTTATTTGTCGTTCGAGTCCCACGAAATCTCGACAGCTCTTGGTACATCAACATGACGCTCATATCTGTTTCGGAGGTTCCATCCATTCAGCCTCTCGCCTCCCCTCCTTTCTTCCCATCTTCTCAATTTGATAATAGGAAGCTAAGCATTCCACACCGTCGAACGCTTGGTTTCTCTCCAGGAGCACGCTATGTTGGTGCTTTTAATATGACCCAGGCTGTTACCTGGTCAACGGAATCATACCAGTGCATCGCGGGTTATCAGGTGACAAACTTCGATCAATGGATTATTAATCCTAATGTCCCCCCGACCTGCTCATATCTCATCCCTGATCCTATATTCTGTCAAGCCATTCTTCCCTTGGCAGAGGGCAGCACAGCTTGTGTGCATTATTCCAATGTGGATGCAGGGCATGACGCTGATGAGTCCTGGATCAAGTGCCCATTTTACGACCTCTCACCAAGCAACTTAGCGGGATATTGTTGGCCTGCCGCAACGAGAACCCCAATCGTTTTTTGGCAACATTTGTGGCTTAATGGCAGACAAGAACTTCTGCTCCCACGGGACTATCGTCCGACCAATTTCCAGCGAGCCTGGTACGGTCATCGAGTGCTATATGATACGATCTATTACCGCCCTCAGTCCAGCAGGGATGGAACTCGATTTCTGGTTCAGGGAAAGTCACGGGCCCCAATTGTCGTGGACATTAGCCAAGTTGAAGTTGCTTAGCATTTACCAGTGCGCTCACTCATCATTCTATTGGCTATAAGCCCGATAACTTTTGCTATTTAGAATTGTGGAGAGTCCCCGAAGCGTATATGCCGATATTTCTGTAACGTTAGGTTTAGTGATGTTAGCTATATTGTTGGTGGCGATGGGTCTCTGGTGTCATGCGGAGTGCCAAAACTGCAGGTGAAGGGGAAAATAAGGAAGATCGTACAACCTCTCGAA